TCGTGTTTAAACATTTTTCGAGAAGTAGTTTTTATTCTACCCCATTCAATTCTTCTTCTGAAACGCCAATCATTAAAATTTGAGGAAAAAAAAAAGAAATATTCTACATTGTTTTAGCTAATGGCGCGCAACAACAAAAATAAGAACAATAACTGTTTTTATAAATTTAAGAAATTTGAAGTAAATTGTGAAACAAAAATTAAAATAAAATGGATAGCAAATGGGTTATTTAAACCAAAATTAAATGATTCAATTCAAATATAGTGAATCATTTCTAGAACAATAATTAGTCATATACACAATTATTAACAAAGTAAACGATTTTATGTGTGATGAGAGATAAATTGATAAATTTAAAGTGAAAATAGGATACAACAACAACAAAAATTTATTAAATATATCGATTGATAAGGCTCAAAATATAATGCACACGCAACATATTATGAAAATAAAATGAATTATAAGGAACAACAATAACAACCAATGAGCATATACATGAAGAATATAACGCATTTCCGCCTAAACAGACGTAATACAAAAAAAAAAATGTCGTGGTTTCCATGCAGTGTTCAGTAAAATAATTATGTAAGATGATAATTTAATGTGAATCTGCACACCATACATACATACATACTCACATACACGCAATTTTTAAAACGAATTATTTTTTTTTTTTTTTGTGAAATTTCAAAATTTGTATATTCAATTTTGTGTTTTGAATTTTTTTTTTTTTGAAAAGAACAGCAACCATTGTTCAAACTATACAATCAAATTATTATATCGAAATAGGCACTTATAATTTGCGTTAATGCTCAACAAAAATAGCGAATATAAATGTATGCCATTTATTCTCCTTCCATATGCTGAATCGAATGAAAGTCACACGATAAACAAATCCAATCGAAAATTGTCAATCAATGCATTTTGACGATGATGTGTATTGGAGGAGAAATGATGCATACGCACCAACCGGATCATATCACAACCGGAAGGCGTGTTCATTTATTGATAAAGGGACTCGTACACAGTAGTGTGTACAACACTAAATATTCTTGATGGCCATGAGTCCTTTACATATGGCCAAGTATATTAAATATGTTTATAAAAAAAAAACATCCAAAACTAATCTAAGTGAGAAAAAAAACAACCCAATACTATCAAATGCATTAAAAGTGTTAATTGTTGAATATTAATTGAAAACAGATATTTAAGTGAAAAAAAAAACAACGTCATAAACTACAAACAACTCAATTAAGAAAACCCACAGATACCTATATATTTTGGTTTGATTTTATCCAAAACAACAAAAAATAACACTGTTTTATTCATGCTGATCGATATGATATTGAATTATAATGAATATCGTTTACTGGTAGTCATTCTGTGTTTTAATTTTTGTGTTAAAAAAAGACATTTCAGTTATAAATAGAACAATCTAAATAAAATCGATCAAAATAACACAAAAAAATATATTAAATAATACATGGTTTTATTTCAATTGATTTTGAGCAAAAACGAATTTATTTTTGAACGTGGTTGGATTTCATCAATGGCGCCATCTTTTGAATATACTAGTTAAATTGTCGTTCACTGTACTTCGTCCCAGATCAATTGAAAAAAAAAAACAACTTGAAACGTCAGTGTAAATGAAATGCATTTGTTGTTTTGTTCTGTCAGAACGTGTATTTATTTATGAATTGCTTACGAATAATAAGTAAGTGTGAGCAATCAATGACATCATTTTCTCGAAAATATTTGGCTCAATAATAAAAAAAACAACATTTATCAGACGTTCTTCGGATCAAAAGTGGGGTAGGTGTAATATAACCACTTAATAATAATTTGTTATTATTTGTTCATAGTTTTTCTGCGCTTGTCCACAATCGATTGCAGATAGTTTAATTGTCGCGGTGAATAACAATTTGCTCACGTTGCAGCAGTATATCGAATTGAATTGAGAAAAAAAAACAACTATAAATAAAATGGGTCTTGAATGTGAACTACCGCCGTTACGCTCGTTGGACGATTTTCTATTGGGATCGGCCCGATTTCAACCGCCAAATTTCCAAGACCTCGAAAAATGGGGAAATCGAGTCACCAAAAATTTTCTATACTATCAAACAAATTACTTTGTAATGGCAATGATTGTATCAGTGCTATTTATACTTTATAATCCGGTGCAAACAATTTCTGGCATTTGTGCGTTTGTCGTTATAATTGCGTCGTTTGTTGTCATCAATCCAAATCAAATTCAAGGTCAACCGCAACATGAAAAATTCCCAGGATCAACTGGATGGCTATACATTGGCGGCATCATACTTACTATTGGTCTAATTTTGTATTTATTCCAATCAATTATGTATGTGACCCTAATAATTTTACTACCATTTGTCTTGGCATTCATACATGCATCGTTACGCCTACGAAATCTACGCAATAAATTATCAAATGCAATTGATGAAAAACAACTACGCTACACACCAATGGGCGTATTTTTGGAAGCAATGTACGTGGTTGTTGATTCAGCTACAAAATAAATTTCGTTTATTGTAAATGTATCTTAAAGGATTCGATTACTTTTAAGTTTAAATCGTTATGCAAAAAAAAAAAAATATTTCAAAACAGATTTGAATCTCTTTAGTCAATAAAGCAAAAACAAAAAAAAAGTATTCAAATAAAAGTTGTAAACATTTCGCTGCATTCATCATTTGTTTCAATAAAAATGTAAACCAAACAAAACGACCAAAACAAATTTTTTTTTTTTTTTTTTGAAATTACGACTGTTCTAGAATTCGCCACTTGGCATTGAGCGCCACCAGTGTCGAATTCTACAACTATGATGACAATAGTGCGAAAATGCTTATTAATTGTTTTGAAAAGCAGTTCGAGAATTTACTAATATCCATTACTTAACCACAACTTGACACAGTAGGTTGTTCTATTTGTTCAGCGATAACAATAACAAACCGATAAACAGTACATAAACATAATCATAATCGTGAGTTATTATTGTGAAATTATTGACCGAAATTAATCGGATCGTTTTTCAAAAATACAGAAACCAAAAACAGTAAATAAATAAATAAAAGGAAAATGTCATCGTTGCGACACGACTGGTATCAGACTGAACAGAGAGTTGTCATTGATGTGCTCGTGAAAAATGCCAGTAGTAGAAATATTTCGGTTAATATTCAACCGACACAAATTTCACTTCGCGGTGATAATGTCGAACTAGATTTAGATTTAGCACATGAAATTGATCCAACAAAATCAACATTCAAAATAATGTCAGTCAAAGTAGAAATCATCCTGCAAAAATTGGTTGGTGAACGATGGTCAAGCTTGAAAAAAGATGGTGCCGCCACTTCAATTTCGTTTAGCAATCTACCACAAACCGAACAAGCCAAAGCATCGCCAAGTCAATATAATGACAAAAATTGGGATCGTGTCGTAAAAGATGCATATGATAGTGCTGAAATCGAAAAGGTACGTTCGCTTCTAGAACATTCTTGATTTTGTTTTAAATTTAATTTGATAACATTTTGAAATACTAATTACAGGACGAAGCCAAACAGTTGAACAGTTTGTTCGAAAAGATTTACAACGAGAGCGACCCAGAAGTACGGCGAGCAATGAACAAATCTTTTACAGAATCAGGTAAATGATAAAAAAATATCTTAGCTTAAAATTGCATTTTTTTTTCCTCATTATTTTGAGACACGTGTACTCCGATCCTTTATTTTTTCGTTTAAATTTATGATTGATTTCATTCGAAATTCCTTGTAAACATGATAGCCATATCAATTCTGTGACATGCCAGGGAATAACGAGTGAATTCTGAATTATAATTTATTTTTATTGAAACGACTCTTTCATCTCAATTCGAGCTTGAATGGTTTTATTTCTATCTACTGATGAATTAAATGAATATTTTTGTTTTTGGTATCTACAGGCGGAACGGTTTTAAGTACCAATTGGAATGAAGTTAGCGGAAAAAAGGTTCAAATGAAACCACCGTCTGGCACGGATTTTGTACCATGGTCTGAATAAATTCAACTTACTTACTTTAAGTTGATATACTCGAAAATACATATATTTTTTTGGGAAATTACAAAATGATGACTAAACCAACTGCATTAAAACGAACAGATTAAAAAAAATGTATTTTATCGCCATAAAACGTATAGTGTTCTTCAAGCACTGCGCGTTTATCAGTTTTTTTATGTGTTCAAGAATTTCTACCGAATTCATATGGTTTGTTTCTTAAAATTATTTCATTTAACTCAAATGAACTGCACACGACCACATACATACTTGTTCATTGGGTAAACTATTTATATTTAGAACATGAAAAAAAAACATACGACATTATGACACCAATTTTTGCCTTTTTTTAATGTTCTAAATTGCAACCATACTCTTAATTGAAATATAAGTCATCTTTGAAGAAATTCAATATTCATTTTTTTAAAACATCTCTTATCGATGGCGATTTCAAATCATATTGTATTTTCAATGAAATGTTTCACAAAATTAAATATAACATTGATTTCAGTTGACTAATTTAGAATAACAAATGTAAAAATAATGATTTTTTTTTTGTTAAATAAAAAAACGAATCCAAAAAATTCAAATAAAAGTGTTAGAATTTTGAATGAGACTTTTTTCAGACATCCACAATTTTAGATAATTTGATTTTTCATGAAAACGAATAAAAAAAAGACAATTTTTTTTCCCAAATATTGCTTCAAATTTTATTTTCGTCCCAAATATACATAGTTTTCTTTTAGACATTGTAAATACGATGAGGAAAAATTAAAAACGAAAAGAACTGTATATTTTTAAGTAATTGTCATTTAGTGAGTTAAAAACAGGTCCAGGTTGGAATCACAAATTCAAAACACTTTATTCCGAAGTGTTGAAGTAATAATTCTGAAATTTGAAGTCATCATCATGGTTTTGTCTGTGGTTTATGATCTTTTTTAATCACACTTTACAAAAAAAATACGTCGAAAAATGATTTTTTTTAAACCTCACGGTGTTTTAACGAACAATTATCTATTAATAATAAATTGAAATAGTAAAAAAGGATAGATTAAAGTCTACATTTCCAAACGATGAATAATCATGTTTTTAAATAAATATTATTTGCGACATATTATTTGTAACAATTTTTCTCAAAACACTAAATCGCAACAATAAACGGTAATTAGTAGTCTTATATAGTTATCTAATTGTTAAGTTCTCTTAGACTGTTAATTATTTAAAAACAAAGAATAACTAATAAAAATTAATTAAAAATGGTAAATAAAATCTGTTATTTTGTCGAATTATTTAATCAATAAAAAAATACTTTATTGTTTTGTTTATTTTTTTTTTTCGTTTGGTTTTCGTGAAAATATTTAAAAATTAATATTTTTGTTAAAAATATTCTATCCATTCAATTTCAATTTTTACTTTTTTTTCCCCCGATTTTTTTTATCGGGCATTTATTTATTATTATGAACAAAAATAGTGATGTTTTTTTAGTCTTGATTAAAACATGACAGTTCTTTGCATGTTTGAATTGAAACGCACAGAGTGAGTTGGAATTTTTGTTTAGAAATTTTTTTCGAAATTCACATGCAGTTTCATTTTTTTTTAAACGGGAAATGTTTAGGCCAAATACAATTATTCAATCCCGATACAATAGAAACGGGTGCAGCAATCCCATTCGGCATAAATTTCGCAAAATGTTTTAATCAAAGTGATGAAAATAAATTTTCTACCGCTTGCAACATTAAATTTTAACTTTGATTTTCGTGTAAAATAGTGTGTCGTGTGTGTGAACTTCTTTTGAACATTTTACTTTTTAAATGGTATTATATTTTTGTTTTGTGCTCAATTGTTAAAATAATAATAAAAATGATCGACTTATATTTGTGGAATTGTATATATATATATTTTGTAATTTTTTTAACCGAAACGAAATTGCTACGTCAATTTTTGTTGTTTTTCAAAGTAAACAAACTTTTTCATGTTCAAAATAAATGCTTGTCAAAAAGCAATACTGAATAATTTATTTGGCTGTTTTAAAGTGGAAACATTCAATTAATGCCAAATGAACGATGTAAATTTAGTCACTTGATCCAATTGAAAATTTACGGCGAAGATAGTTGCCAGCTTGGAGTAAGCTTTCCTCCAAAACGGAATTTCCGCGTGGTCGTTTTGTTGGAGTGGACACTTGGAATTCATCGTCGTTTGCAGTTACAATTGTAAGTGTTCGTTGATATTGACGGTTCGAAGGAAGATTTCGATCGATCAACTGCAAACTGTTGGAATAATCACCAGCAAAGCATGTTTGGGAGCAGCATGATTCGGTCATCTCACTCGACCTAAAAATGTTTGTGCATTTTTTTTGGTCAAAATTTGGAAACAATATGTTGAGCTGACTAATCAGCGCAGTTTATACGAATTAGCCAGCCAATTGGTACATTTTTTTAATTTTGTGACAATTTGTTCCTTTAATGTGTTATCGCAAGTGTAGACATCTAAATTACTTAAATAGAACTCTAAACTTGCAGCAAGACGTTGTGAAATCAAATGGTTTTTGTTACCGATTGGCAGGCCGACTATTGGCTGACAACACATTGTCTGAAAAAAAAGACTAATTCGAATCAAAAGATGAATTACCTGAAGGTGAGCGTAGGTGCGAACGTATGTAACCCGTCCGATAATCTATGGGCATGATTTGCACCGAGGAATGATAACCGTTTCGGCGATTTCTCCATCTGTGAAAAACCGAATCAAACACACAATATTTCATTTCCGTGTCTTATTATTTATAAATTTTAAATATATATCTCTAATTGTATATCATGCATATGTTAAATTTGATTTTTTTTTTGTTTTCATTTAGTTTGTTGTTTCTTTCACATATGACAATGATACAAAGCATTTGCCGATTTGTTAATTCCATAATCCAATAGTTGAAATTCCTTTCGATTCAATTTGCTGCTAATTTCTAAATAGCTTATATTAGCCCAGTTTGATTAAAAAGTAAAATACATATAAAGACGATAGATAGTTCCATGCCAAAAATGAGGAGCAAAAAGACATGCACAACTACACACAAAATAGAAATTGATTGTTTAAATTGTTTTGTTTGCATAATATGCCTACAAATTCGACTCTTTTTTATTTATTTATTTGGAAAAACAAAAAAATAACAAAAACAAAAAGCATAACACGAAGAAGACATCTACTAGAATATGGTACAAGCCAGCCAAGAAATTCCAACTTACCTACGAAAAGATAGTTTTATCAACTTGGTATAAAAAAGATGATGTTTTTTATTTGGTAGATAGTGTAGACAGATTTGTGAGAAAAAAAATTGTATTGCATATCAATTCACTCAGTTACTCTTTTCTTTTCATCATTTTGCATTTTGTGTCATTATTTTATTTTTCTTATATTTTGGCATGTATCAGATTTTTTTTTTTTTTTTTTTGGGCGGAACAGTTGAATCTATTTTGTGTGTGCTTTTTATTTAATAAAAAGAGATGTATAATTTGTTCCATCACAAACTCAGTTGAAATTTGAAATTTGGAATTTATGTGCCCACTGCAATTTCATTCCGACTATAGTGATTTTCGTAAATGTTTTTAAACATTAAAACAAAATCTTGTTTGAATTTTTCGTTGTTCTCCGTTGTACATATTATCGTATAAACGTCGGCGATGCTACACCAATATTTCGTCTACAAAACGTTGGTCGGCTATATTTTGGTATACGGAAACAGTTGAAATATATTTAGTCGATTTATTGTTTTTTTTTTTTTTGATTAAATTAGTTTTGTGTTATATTGATTTAGAAACTATTTAGCGGTTTTTGTTCCTGTTTAATTTAAGCAACGATCATGAAAATTAAAATTGAAACAAACAAACAAAAAAACCAATAAAATCGATTCATCCTTTAAGGCCAGATTCGATGAATACTCAAAGCGTAAAGCATACGTTAATGGTAAATTAAATATATGGATATGTTTATTTTACCGTTGTTGTTTTATTTTTTATTTTTTTTTGTACCATTTTTGATTGATTCAATATGATTGAACTGAAATTGAGTGTGACATGCGCGTTATGCAGAAATAAAATGTTTTGAATATGCAATTCGAATACAGATTGAGATTGAGCGTATTTTTGATTTTTAAAAAGTAATCAATGAAAATAAATGTAAGCCCAATTTTGTTTGATTCTAATCCGATCGTTAAGTGTGTTTTAGTGCCAAAAAGCTCGTATTTGATGGATGTGTATTATTATTTTTTTATACACTGTAGCAATATACAAAATTTCGACAGAATTGAATGCAATCGCTTACCTTTGAATACATTTTTATGCCTTTTGCGTATTTTGTTTCAATGTTTGAAATCGTTATGGATACATTTTGTATTGAACAAGTCATTTATATTTTTTGATTGAATACAGAAAATCACAAAGAGTGGATTGGAGAAGGCAATATAGAAAAGAAATAGAAATATAGATAGATAGACAGAAGAGAAAATTCAAAGAAATAAATGGCAATGGAATGCTGTATCAAAAATGCAAGTGATTTTTTTTTTGTTCAAGTGAAAATTGCGTGTTGAGAATAAAGTGAGGAGAGCGAAAAAGCATTGCGTGTAAATATTTGTAATAATGCGCTTAAAACCAATATCATTTAATTCAGAGACTTCCGAACCAAAAATGAATTTATCAATGATTTATAAACAAGCTATACCAAAATTCAAATTAATTTCGTATTTAACACTGACGGTTTTAATGAAACAGACAGAAAGAGGTAGAGATAGAGAGATAGACAGTGTGTTGTGTGTTAAAGAGAAAATGTGAGGCGTTTCGCTATATGGATGTTTAAATTTTAAACTAATGAAAATTGTAAATATTTACCGCTAAAAAATTCGAACAATTTATCTGTATATTCAGCAAATTACAAACAGCAGATTTACCGCAAATGAAATATGAATGAGAAAAATCTTTTGATCGGTGTGTTTGAATTAATTTTTTTTTCTTTGTTCAGATATCAGGGGCTTTTTTTTACCTCCATGCGTAATTTTTCTATTCAAATTTGTATTGCTTTTATGAAAAATGGAGTTGGAAAACAACACCCCCCCCCCACCCCCCGAAAAAAAGTGGAAAAATGTTACAACGCATGTTAGATGTTACAATTTACACAAAAAAAACTCATTTTGGGCACTAAATCAAAGAATTTAGTTCATATTCTCTAGATATTTAAATGAATTAAATGCAAAATTGGTTTTTTTTATTATAAATTGAATACATCTAATACATTGCACACTTATTTATAATAAAAGATAAAAAAAGAAGAAAAACGGTTTTTGTTTGAAATTTTCTAGAATTTATTATTTGGCTTACCTCGCACTGTGGCCGAGTAGAATGATATTTCTATTGGAAAGTGAGGGAAGAAAAAGAATGAGAAAAAGAAAACTCGATTAGAATGCTGTTTCAATTAAATTAAAATGTGTTTTTTTCCTGTTTCAAGAAAAAATTCAAGGCAGGTAGATGGAAAGAGAGAGTTATAGAGAGAGAGAGAGAGAGAGATTAAGAAAGAGAGAGAAGGAGAGATGGAAAATAAATGTGAAATGAGAAAGATAACATTTTACTGAAAATGGAACAAGGCAGTCAGTAACGTATGTACAGTTTATTTAACCATGATATTCACTATCCATTCCAAGGGGAATACAAAATATCGATTTATATTACAAATTACCAGATCCTCAAAATGACAAAGGTTCAATAGACATTTATAGAACATTTCTCTTGCAAATATTTATTTTGGTAATGAGATTACTTTCGCGAGCGTACATTTGTAATGTTCATGATGCTTGCAAGCGAATTTTAATAGCGGTGATTTTGTTCGTATGAACATTTCAAATGGTCGCTTTTGGTTGTTAAATTATGAATGGACTGGAGTAAATGATCGGCTTGAAATGTGAGTCTTTAAAAGTGAAATAAATCAGTACAAATGTGAAAATATTTCATTTTGGATTTTTTCACATTTGTAGCCTCCAAATTCGGGTCGAATTTTTATTCTAAACCAATCAAAGTTCAGTGCTTCAATGATTTTATCTATGAGTTACACATATATGTGAAGGCAATCAAAAGACCTTCACAATTTCATGCATTCTGATGTTGATCACAAAACAACAAAAAAGGAAACACAAAACCGACAGTTCATCACGATAAAATCAAGACTGTTTACTTTACATCAAAATATAAAAAATACACCTGAAACTTTTCAAATCAGTAGAACAACAAAAAATAAAAATAAAATAGCACCTCGGTTGATGAAAAATGTACCAGAGCCGATTTTGACCAAATGGACAATTTATATACATGGTTTTTTTTTTAATTTGAAATGGGTGGAAGCAACCTGTTCCATACGTATTTGTCGCTAAAGAGACTCAAATGCCAAAATATAAACAGTAAACACATTAAACAAAACATTGGAACCTGGATGGATTCTTAGATTAAAATGGAACAATTGGATGGGTGAACGTGTATCTTTTTTACAGATAATATATATGCAATTTTGAATATCGTGCACTTGAACAACAAAATCAATCCATTTAAATGATTGCGATGTGTGTGTGTGAGATAGAGACATATGTTATGTGATATGTGAGCGATTATTGTTATAAATGCGATTTCTGATATAGTGAAAATTGAGTGTGTGGTGTGTGTGTTTTTTTTTTCAAATTTCATGTGTAAAATGTGTTGCGCCTAAAACAGTAATACTACGAATATGCCAGTTGCAATTAGCAACACAATTTTGTTTATTTGCACGAAAGCGTTTGTTGATTTGTTATTGTTGTTGATTGCCATTTGATGGATGAAATAGAATTATAATCGTTGTTACATAGCGATGCAAATTGAAAGACAGTGTGAGACAAAATGATATTTAACCAAAATTCTACGACCTTGAACGCCAAATAATACACAAACACATAGTGAAAATGTTAATTTTTCATAAGAGATATATGAAGTGAAGTAAAGTTAATTTGTTTGAAATTTGCTTTGGAAAATTAGTTTCGTTATTTTATTATTGTTAATTTTATTTAAAAAAAAAAATGAACAAAAAATGAAATGAAATTGTTTTAAGGTTTTGTTATCTCCTACCGAATGATAGAAACCGTCAAATTCACAACAACACTGATTACGGAGAGTTGCACGAACAGTTTTTCTGTGGAAAAATTTTGACAAAATAATTTCGGTTTATGTTTATTTTTGTTAATCTTGCGTCAATTAAAATTTTGCATTTGTTCTGTTGATTTTTTTCTTTCATTTTTCTCATGTTGTTCTTGATTTTGTCTTGTTGCTTTTTTTAATGATAAAAAAAAAATTAGATTAGTTGAGTGTACTTATTTTGCCTGCTCCAAGTTTTGTTGTGTTTCTAACTTTATAATTTGATCGTATCAGCTTTCATTTACTCTTTTTATTTTGTTGTCGAAATAAAATGCATATGTAACTCATATAAAAACAAATGACGGTGTACACGTCCATTTAACGTTATTTTTTGTTAAAAAATTGTTGTCGAATAAAAAAAAACACGTTGTAAATAATATTTTAGGAGCGTGACGGCTTAAAAATTATTTTAGAA